TGACTTACAAAGGTTAAGCTTTGGGATTGTTCTGCACTGTTGTAGAAAGCGCTTTTGATGGATAAGAAACACGGCACTAAAGGAGGAGTTAATAACTACAGATGCAAATTCCATCACCCGTTGTGCTATTTATCCACCAAAAATATTCCCTTTGAGTCTTATTCTCTACTTTGAAATCAGTCACACTGCCATCTACCTGCTGCAAAATAAATGAAGGTCATTTTAGATAATCTAATCCAAAGGTGAATAATCATAATATTATAAGTCCCACTGGAGGTAAAGCAAGAAATTAGCCTGAAAACTGCTTACTTCTCAATTCTATAAATCAACTCATACAGCATCCAAAAGATGCAATGAAAAAGACAGTTAAACATTATAAATGTTGAACAAACTGTTCTACAGAGTCTTGTTTTCCTGATCGTTAAACACTGCTTTCTGAGATAAGTCCTTTTTATATTGAACCTGATTACTCCAGAACAGTTTAGATGTGAAGGTTAATAAATATGCTCTAAGTCAAGAAATAAGTCAAAAATAATATTCACTTTTGTTTCCAATTACCGTTTTACGATTATTCAACAACAACACACACTGAGGTGCGTACAAATAAATCCTTCCTCAAGTTGTATATGCATGTGCTTATATGTATTAAATGCTATAACCTCCTCTCTAACTATGGATAAAAGACTTAAAAGGAAAGCTAATTAACATGTATCCTAATCATAAGAAAAGGTCATGGGTCAGGCAAATCAAGAAACCTATGTGAATATTGCATTTATGTCAATTTGACAGTATTTTTTAGGATGTAGCATTGTATTATATTTTACCAAAGGGTGAAAAGCATATGACATATATATATATACACACACACACACACACACTTAGTTTACTCATTAATTAAGGTGTCACACAGTTACACCACTCCCATATGCACCCTGATGACATACAACATTATCTCCATGTTTCTAAAGTGCCATCCAGGTCACCTAGCCTGTTTCCTCTTGCTCACAGCAAAAATGAGTAACAGTGATGATGATGATTCACAGTAAAAAGGGAAGGTAGCAATAATGGGAAGGAAACCCAGTACAGGAAAAGAAAATTATAATAGATGTTATGTTGTTATTATGTGTGCATGGGAGCAGCTACAAATTAGCATCAGGTAGACAAGAGCACTACACACATACCTATATATACACATATGTGTATGTGTGTGTGCGTGTATGTATTTTTCTAAAGGTAGAATTAAAGAACTCTCTAAAATTCGGCTGCTAACATATCTCAGTAAAAACAAACTCTGGATTTCCTTTCAATATTAGACCTACCTACCTATCCAATTTTCTTTTCAAGCTTAATTATACTGTGATTTCTAAATAATTTGATGAATACACATTTTTAACAAATATACAAGTATCAATTTATTAATACATGATCCATAACAAACTAATTTCAAGGTAGACAAAGCCAAATATTGCAAACTTTGGAATAAACACTACTTATGGTAAATGTCAAAAGAAGAAACCACTGAAATAAACTGAATTTATGATTTACAGCAAAATAAAGTAAAATATGTGCTTATGGCCAGCATAGCACATCTTATATTTTAAAAACTCTCTTTAACAATAAACAACAATCAAATGAGAATTTGAGAAAATACTGACAAGAAATCAAGCGGAAAAAGCTAAATTATGCTCAAAGTGAATCGAAATAAGCAGTACTCAAGCAAAGGCTTTGTTTTTCCACAGTGCACAAAAATCTTGGGAGTAATTACATCTACTTGGTCTAGAGAATAATTTAATTTATCATACAAGATAAGGCTGTTTTTGACTTAATTCTGCAGCCATTTCAGGAATGTGAAAGAGCATGGTAACAAGAAGAGAAAATAGCAGCAAACACAAACCAATCCAGTGCTATTGCAGGATTTGCCCAAAGAGAGTCTATGATTATCCGCTACAACCTTGTAATTATATAAAGTATGATGGGTAGGAGATTTGGTTCCACAGCACATGATTTGGAGTAGACAGTAGGCAGATAAGTGCACATGAAGAAACTGATGTTCAGAATATGTCTGTATACTGTGTAGGAACTGTAGGAAAGAAGAGGGAGAACAAAACCTGTGCTAGGAAAGTGACTGTGTCAGTAAGGCATTTTCTGCAACAAATCGTGGTATGTTTAGTATCCACTCCAGTAGCAATACAAAACAAAAGTAACTACTGGAATATTGGCAAAAAAATAAGTTCTTTGACCTGAATGAATCTTCATTTCTACTTTTAAAGCACCAGCATTTGCTATTGAAATGTTTCTGCAAATACACCAAAATTTCTCCAGACTCATCCTTATTGCTGTCTGTACTTCATTGCCAATATGTTACAGGTGGCAAAGGTAAAGAAACTTACATTAAAAAATTGGCCACTGTTTTTCCTATAAGATCCTGTGTTCACCTGTAACTTCCTGCTTATCAGACACTTAAATTCTTCATATTAGATTCTTGTTTCTTTGGCTGCTCACTTTAAATTCAGCAATCACTTCAACCAGTTCAATCAAGTGTTTGTTCTCCATTTAATAATCCTTACAACAGTTTGTAAGAAGCCTGTATCCTCCCTGTTCTTTGGAATGCTTTGGCCCAGTCAAGGAGGGATACAAGACCATATCATGATGTTGCCAAGGAAGATTCTGCCAGGCAGATTATGCCTCAGCTTTTGCAGAAATAAACTTCACATGCACTCGATGCAGACTTGTTTGAATCAGGTATCTACATTCTTCCAGTGTTCTCTGTCATGAGGCATAATCCAATCTACAGCTGCAACAGTTTGAATTCCTACTTTTTCTCTTGCTCCTTCAAGAACATTTAGATTTCACTGCAGTGCTAGGAAAAGAAACTGAGAGCAAAGAGAATTTAATTTATTTGCACTGTATTACTCCTGTGGGTACCCAAATGCAAGGAAAAGGGAAATTAGTTTAACAGGAAGCTAAGCAATATGAAGAGCTGAATGAAAAAAGGAAACCAGAGAGGAGAAGAAAAAAAAAGATTCCAAGAATAAGCACTGGCTTATGACAGAAATGCAGAAGGGTCTGAATGGATGGTTGAAAAGATTGGCAACCACCTGTACATACAATTCCTTTTGCTATAACAAAACTGAGCACCTTACCACATCCAAGCTAAACTCAAGTCTGCTGTATATCTGTCTCTGTGTTGGAAAAATGTCCTGCAGTCAACTTAGAGTCTAATGTTGGGTAGCTAAACCCTTCGAAAAATTTCTCAGTTCCTCTTTGCTTCTTGACCTGATTTCACAACACAAAGCACACTTCCTCACTGTAAGAATCTCAAACTTCCTGCTCTTTGAGCTTCAATCAAGTGAACTCCCACCGAAGATGAAGATTTGAAATGTAAAAACTGATTAATGCCTTTTTTTGTAATTCCCTTTTATTCTCAACCACCTTATTGGCCTAAGCCACCTGCCGCTTAAGAACTTCATGACACCTTTATTTTCCATCAGCCACGAAGCTGATTAGATTATTGCTTCCAATGATTTCTGAGGAGAAATATTGCTTTGTCGTCATCTTTCCTGCTTTAAACAATATCCACAAAAGTCCCTATTAAGAATAATAAAACTAACTTTTTTTTTCCACTGCCACCTATTATTAAAGATTATACTGTCAGAAAACTTAAACAGTCTAAACTGAAGAATTGCTTCAGTTACACTGTAGGGCACTGCAATGGAAAACAAAAGGCAAGAACTGAGTTGTTACAAAATAAAAAGTAGTTGATAACAACAGTAAACTCAGTATTTCTGTTGTTTTTTGAAAACACTAGCATTGGTGTACATGTATGTTGAAATGATTGTATTCTTTTCTTTCTGAGAACTGTCTTTTCAAAATCGACAGTCAGACAGAAAACAGTATGAGCAGCCAAACATATAAAAGACAAGAACATTGAGAAATAAAAAGAAAATTAAACTACTTAAAATGTTTAGCTCACCTTTCCCACAGCAGCAGCCACCCTGTTGGTCTCCCCTGCTCTTTGTTTTCATTGCAATGTCCAGCATTATGGCTGAAGGAATAGAGTACAGCAGAACCTCGCTAATTTACCTTACTAATTCAAACACCTCAATTTGAACAGAAAATTTGCCACTTTCCCAACTTCTTAGTAAAATCAAATTGAATATGCTCAGAGAGGGTTTCTACCACTCACGCCAAAATAGTAAATACGCTATACAATATTGATGAGTACCCTACTGAGTATTATCATAGAAATGTAAACTAAGTCTAATAAAGTAAATGTGTCACTGACTTTCTTATTTGCAAATGTTAACATTAAAAAGGTCTCCCCATCAATGAATTAGGGAGGCTCTACTGTACTTAAAAATGTAACGTCCTCATGGATACCATTATATCTACGATTACCTTAGACTGTGTCACATGGGAATACAGCCACTCTACCTACGTTGTTATATATTGTCATTATAGTGTTCTGACATTATTTTAATTTTTCAGACTTTCGGCTGCCCAGAGAGGCTGTGGAGTCTCCTTCTCTGGAAGATCTTCAAAACCCGCCTGGATGTGACACTGTGCCACGAGCTCTAGGTGTCCCTGCTTGAGCAGGGGGTTGGACTAGATGATCTCTAGAGGTCCCTTCCAAACTCAACCATTCCGTGATTCTGTGATTTCAGAAGATTATATATTCAATTTACTGTTTGATGTTTTTATGTTATGCAAAGTTTTTTTAAAATTATTTTTCCCCCCTCTCTGAAATACCTATATAAAAAATAGTATTCTGATATTCAGTAAAATGTGTCAAATGTTCAATATTCATTCCTGACTGCTAGTTTTTGTATATAAACTACATGAAATTTCTCATCTGGGGTGAAGTTTGTTGTTTAGATCAGTTAGCAGTTCAATGATACTCAAACACTTCTCCGTGAAAATATATATATATATTTTTTTAAAAAAAGATAGCATATTACCATATTCAGTTAATCAAATTGACAATCGTGAAAATATCTTACTGGTCTGACATCCCCACATGAGTTGGTAAATTGTCGAGCCAAGCCAAAATCCAGCATATAGCACTTCCTGCAGGTGCTAGGAAAACGTCCCATTGCAAAGTTGGACTAGGAAGAAAGAAAAATGCATATGTATATGAATCTATGTATATATTAACACCGAGATATTACCAGGGGGGGCCGAGTCAATGTTCTAATTTTTTATTCTTCTTTCATATTTTCAATTCTATTAAATTCACATTACCTTTGGAAAAAAAAAAGTCAATAAAATCAGATACTTGACTTAGTATAAGAGAAGAACAGCCTTTTTGGACCAAATTACTGGCTTACTTTATCACTTAGATTATACTTCTTTTATTGAGAATTTTTTCACTTATGTCACGCAATTACATTTTACTCAAGAACAGATTCAGGTAGATGTTTCACCACAAAAAGTTTGATAAAGACAGATTAAATCCCCCCTGATTCTCATAAACATTTCCTCAACTTTTTCTTTTCAAGGAGTGTACATACCTCTGGAGTTTGAAAACTGAAAGCTGGAAACAGCTTTATATTTAAGTATAATATCACTAGAATTGCATAATATAAAATGGAATAGCTTCCTATTTCAGTCTGCCATTCCTTCTTTGCTACAATTACATTAAAAGTTGATTAAAGGAAATGAATTTTGCGTGAATTTGCTATTAAAGGGCCTAAATATATTCTACAAATAAAAACTATTCCCTTAGATTTATTATCTTATAATATAAGAATTCCCATTGCCCAAATATTAATCAGACCTTATCTTGTGACAAATACTTTTGATTGTACAATGTTACAGATAGGGGATGGGAAACATTGCTATAAAAAAATTGCCACTACTTAACTGGCGATCATTGTGAGGAAGACCAAGATTACTTGTGTTCAATCCAGCATTAATAGGAAAATTCTACGCTGATGAAAACACACTCAAATTTCTGTCATTTCTCATTTTTTTCATTTTAACATCTAATACAGCACCCATTCTTACTTATGCTGCAGCAATCCAATGTTCACGCATTAAAAAAAAACAAAACAAAACAAAACATTTTGTTTCAAAGGGTAGTCTTACTGGCTTTATGTCTCTGTGCAGGAATCCCACTGAGTGAATGCTTTCAATAGATTCCAAAATCTGCTTCCCAAGCCGCAGAGTGGTACTGATGGTGAATGTTCCTCGAGATTGGCTCCGACGCAGGTCTGCCAAGTTCCGACCCTGATCACATCAGAACAAAGTTTTCACAAAAAAAAAACACTAGAAGACCAACAGCCACAGACAGCATAAAATCTTCCCAACCCTTCTCTAGCAGTTAAAGTCAACTGTCACACACCTCACCTAAACACACTCATGAAACATTGCTAAGTATCTTCAAAAAAAGTTTATAAATTTAATATTGAAAAAATGAACTTTAGCCTATATCTGACCCTTAATAACATGGATCAAACCTATGTCCAGTAAAAGATTTTAGTATATTTCTCAACTATGAAATATTGCATATGTGGTACACTCAACAAAAAAAAAAAAAAAAAAATCCACAGAAAAAAAAACACTCGCAAAAACTTATTTATATTTACCTCTTCAGGGAAGATATCTTAATTGCTTTATTACATACTATGTCTTAGTCTTAGATGACTTAAATAGATTTAAAGAATACTAAGCAAGAAATGCTTCTTTACAATGTAATAAACAGTTCGTCTTTCAAGTAACAGATGATCAAGAATACATAGTAGAACATGGGGGTTTTTTTCATATTCACTGAGATGGTAAAGAAAAATTAATCCATAATTTTAAATGCTAATCATTCACTTTTCCCTTCTTACAGGAATAAGCATTTTAGTTAACTGAATCAACTTTTTAACTTGTGAAGAGCATTTTTTTTTACTTTCATCCCATAAAGTCAACAAACTGAATAGACAATTTTGCTATATTTTACACTATTTTCAACCAAAGTCTTTAAAAGAACGTGGATTATCTCAGAATATATCACAGTTCTTATTTTACATACTTGGGTTGTTCTGAGGATGCAAACTGTCTCCTTTCTTACAGGAAATTATGGAAAAGATATCAAAGGATAATATGATGATGTGTTCCATTCACCTTACCTCACAACTACATATTTATAGTCTTCGGTCTTTAAGAGATCAGTCTCTAAAATTTAACTGGTATTTTCATATATTTTCTACCATAACAAAACACAAAAGCAAACTTTGAGCTCAGTTTGATACACTGACCTGCAGTTGCATGACCACGTAGTTAAATCTGTCATTCCTTCCACATCCGATGAATCTACAAACATGATCTTTTCCTGAGAATAACAACAAGAAGAAAAGTCAGCCAATAACAACGAGATTCTATTGTTTTATTCCTTAAAATCTTAGCAAATAACCCACCAAAAGACACCACAGTTATATTGCTTTAGATATCTACGATTAACTTCAATAAACAGAAAGAATGGTAGGAGAAAATTGGAAAAAAAGTATGCTAGTTTTGGGGGACATTTTGATGTTCCATCCAGAGTCCCATCAAACTGCTTGCAGTTTCTGAAGATTCTCTCTTCACTTGCCAGAAAAGTCAGGTGCCTATTTATTGCAATCTCCCTCGCACAGACAGTTAAAACAGACAATTCTGCTTCTATAAAAAGAGATCAGAACAGGATTCATCAAAATAATTTATTCTAAAAGAAATCTCTCTAATTTCTGCATTTATATCAACAGTAAGCTGTAAGCTGCTTTTCCTCCACTTTTTTCTTACGCTTTTTTTTAAGCACGACAAGCAGTATTATAGAGTAGATTATATCTTAAGAAGAAAGGGATTTGCAGCAAATTCCCCCAGATGAAATCCTGTAGATTCATGGCTGCACTTTTTAGCTAGCGAGCGTCCCGGCAGCGGCAGCCCTAGCTCTGCGGCCTGCCCCGGGCGCAGCCCGTCGCTGCATCGCTCCCCAGAGCGGTAACTGCGCGCGGGCGCGCGAGACGCAAACCTGCTGAGTGAGGCTCGGTCTCACCCGCGGAGATTGGATAAACCTGGCTTCTCCGCTCTGGCTGTATGAACCGAAACAGATGGAATGACAACATGGTTTCCAAAGGGAAAAAGATAAAAAAGGAAAAAGAATCCACACCATCTGTTGCAGCAGATTTCCTTTATAATCAGACGGTTTAAAGAGTTAAATACTGTGCTAACAACAAAATTTAGAAGGCAACATCATTGCCAGGAAAAAAGAAAAAAAAAGGGTCGGGGAGAGAGAATGGAAAAAAAAAGAAAAACAGAAAAACAATCCATGCCTAATCTACATTAAATAGCCATACCAGTGAACATAACAGGCCTCATAGCACATATAATTAACGAGAAGATTTTGGTTCTGCCAACTCTTTTCATTGGAAAGTATTAAGACAGAAGCCATAGAACTACCCTGCACACGTAGCGTTAAGGAACATTCAAGCTAAGGAACTTAAACTAGTTTTTTTGGAAGTTTTTCATTACTTGCTGCACTACACACCTATAAAGCTGTGACTGTGCAATGAATGACCACACTGTTTTCATTTATCAAATTTTCTGAAAGTGAAAAACAAAAAAAATATAGTACAGCGTTGCATTTCTGCCAACAACTGTTCTCGTTTCTGTTGCATGCTTTCTGTGAAATAAGACTCCGATTCAGAAACTCAGAAGCCCTTCTAGCACTGAGAGCATGAGTAGCTCTAGTGAAGAGGCTGGCCTATCTACCTGCTGCTCTGCTGGACTGCGACCACCTTACACCTCCATATAACTTCTTGTCTAATTCTTTCCTCAGAAACTCTTGCTTCAAAAGAGTCCACAGGAAACTACACACTAGAGTAAATAAATACATATATTTTTTAAAGTTAGATCTACACTTCTTAAGAAATCTGAATGATTCTGTCAAGACACTTCAGCAGTGAGGCAAAAGCCGTGGCCTCATTACATACTATTCACACATCAACTTTCCAATTATTTGCATGGAAAGAGATTCTCATGACAACTACATTCCTCCCTCTGAGTTCAATTATGTCCAAGGTAACCAGAACACCTTGAAAATGAAAGAACATGGATCCTTTGAGAAAAGAACAATAATACACAGACATACTAAAAAGGGATAAGAGAACAAGATGATCTGGTCTCAGAGGACACATGCTATTAGTAGGTAGTCACGAAATATCTTACGAAAATTGTCTGCAATTTCACCTCTGAACAAGCCACTCGGCAGAAAAAAAAATCATCAAAAAGAAATAAAATTTCTATATGGTGAATGGAACAATTAATTAAAAATATAATCTTCCAGAACCAATGACGTTTTTCTCAATTTTATTTCTACTTCAAACTTTCGGCTTTTGCACATCAAGAACTGCAGAGGTAGAAAAATTAGTGGAGGGCTTTTGCTGCTAGGAGCCACAAATTTATGTAAAAGGTTTTTTTTCCAACATAATCCACTACTCTGATAAAAATTCCACAAGTATGGCTAAAATATTATGTATGAAAAAATAAAAGCTTCTGTTTATACTATAAATCTCAGTAAGTCTCAAAAGTACCTCCATAAGCCATCTCTTACTGAAATCATGCTCCTGATCTCCTACATCATTCCCTACCTAAAAACTAAAGTCTGACACTGTACTGTGAAACTGAAACACCAAAGTCCACTTCTAGTATCACTACCACAGAGTTACAGCATTGTTTGTTGCTTATTTATTTGTTGTTGTCAATGGGTAAGAGATTATTCAGAGAAAAAAAATGAGGCAAAACTATCTAAAATGTAAATTGTTTTCTCCCTAGAAAGCCTAAAGTTAAAAGAGCTCTTTCTCAAGATTTTTATATGCAATCAGGTGGTCAGCTATGTAATCCCCATTTATTGTCTTGCTTTCTCTGAAAATTAATATTGGGAAATTAAACAATAAACACAAGTATCTTTATATTGAGAAACTACTACAATGCCTCAGTGAATCCGTTTTCAGTGGTTCCCTTCTGCTGCTTCTGTCTGGACGCATTCCCCATGACACTGAGCAGCTATGGATACTTCCAGGGGAAGATCTCAACTTACTAGAATTGCACTCCAAAAAACAAGACCTATACCAAAATTCAACATTTATAAGGCCATAGAGCAACAGTCACAAATCGATTTTTGATTCTTTCAGCCAATATTTTTGGATTTAAATTTCTCACTCAAATATTATATTTTCGACAAAAAATAAAAAAGTCATAGTAGGAAAACAGCACCTCAAAACTTCACTGTACTTAAATGCACATTAGGCTATAACATAACATGTTTTAATATAAATTGAGAGGCACATAAGCCTTGAATAAGTATATAGGGCTCCAGTTATACAGCAAAATATAGCCTAGACGTTTACAAAAGAATTGGCATTGTAGAGTCACAAATATTTCAGAGTACGTTTTCAGATATTAACATTTTCCTTATTACTTTTGTGGCTTCAGCTAAACAGACTTAGAGACTCTTTGGTTTTCATTGAAATCAAACTTACGTGCAGAAAAAAAGTTTGAAAAAATAATTTGAAAGATTTAAAAGTCTTTAAAAGAATTAGAGTATTTGTTTCTTCAAAAATCACTATTTTAAGGGAATTTCTTTCAAGAATCCTGATTGAGAAGTTCTAAATTTGGGCTTGGCAGAACCAGAATTTACTTGAATAAGTCTCTGGATTAGAAAATCTAAAATTCAAAGAAAGCCAATACACAGCCACTGAATCTTTTTGGTCTGCTATATAATACTAGATGTTTTTGTGAAGTTCTTTAAAAAGATACAAACAGAAGAGAGGTTAAAATATTCATAGTATAACATATGACATATTTGCCCTCTTAAATCCATACAGGTTGTCAATTTTTGTTGCAATGTGACCTTAGAAGCAGATTAGAAAGCACCATATGTCAGGCAGATTTTGTTTTGCTCAAACTAAGAGTTGAAGAAAATTTAAGTGCTGTCAGAAAATTTGGCTGCTGATCTTTGCCAAAATCTTCAAGAATCAAAATAAATTGTTAAGAAAAATCAGTTTATAAACTTTATTTAATCTTATATTTTGAAAAGTAGTGAGGAGAAGTCATTGCATATTTTTTTTTAACCGATAGTGTCAGACATTAAAATACAATTAAGCTAATTAAGTAATCTATTCAAAGGTACATCTGACAGATTTTGAGAGCAATTTAATTTTTGCTTGCTTTGGATTTTCACATCATCCTGTTTCAAATAACAGTTTAGCTGTATCAAAGCATTCAGAAGCTCAAAGAGCCCAGTTTTCTGGTCTGCCAAACATAAATCCAAAGGCTTCTATTTCATTCCTAAGGACAACTTAGTAATTCACCGCAGAACATGGGAAATATTTAATCACACTAAAACGAAATAGAGATTCAATGAATTTTTTGAAGAAATGCACTGATGTGCTACTTCTGGTGCATCCGAGTACGGCCCTACCTTGCAATTTCTTCAACACAGCTACTTCCATTTTCAGAACCTGCTTCGGCTGCTGGGCTGACTCGACCTTCAGCGCCACGTTTTCCCGGGTCAGCAAGTCCAGGGCATCGTAAATTTCTCCAAAGCCTCCACCACCTATTTTCCTCAGCTATATCGAAAAGAAATGCCAAAAACAGATTTAAAAAGAGAAGAGAAGATGAAAGGAAACAAGTCATCAATATCTGTGCACTTCCTGCCAAACTGTGAACAAGGTCATGCTACTAATAATTTAAATTAGTAGAATTACATCCTTAATAAAAGGCTAAAAGAGCTAGTGAACACTCTAGAAAGGTATGGTTAAGAACAATAAATTACAGAAGAGATCCTTGAAAGACTAGTTAATATATCTGATCTCTACCTGCATTAAACTCAGTTAGCATGTAATACACCATAAGACTAAAATAATATTTCCAGCATGAATGTGACCAAAGTCCTTATGCTGAATATACACTTTCCTCAAATAGCCACAAACTGCTCAGAGAGCTCCAAATACAAATGCAGTAATATTTTTAAAATGCACTATCTTTTTTTTTTTAAAATATGCACACTGAACACTAAAATGTTAAAAGCACTTAGTGATATTGCGAAGAGCCAAAATTTTCTATTACATAGAGGGAAGTACACATAAAAGCTAAATCGCAAATTATAAGAATCACTAAGATTATCTTTAAATATCTTTAAATGCTACAGGCACTCATGGTTCACTAATTTCATCCTTATTAACAAACTAAATAAATATGCAGGCACAGAAACTTTCATCTGTGTTAAGAGGAGGTTAAACGGAATGCCCTTGGCATCATTAGTTAGTATTACAGTACACTCAGTGCAAATATTAACAGCTGTGCTTTTATTTGCTTTAGATGGTCACAGTGGACAAAGACCTATTTTTCAGTCTCAAAAACTAGACTAGACATTTCATTTAATGTCTCCACACTTTGATGTTCCCGTTAGAAACTGAAGGATTGAGATGATTTGCTAGATGTCATCTGAAAAATGTACACTTGTCCACGTCACATGACTCTTAACACGTTATATGTAATCTAAACTTTTGGGGCATCTGGAGACCGACAAGACACCGAGCCACCTTCAGGGCCTGAAAATGAGACTAATGTCTCCTAATTCAAACAATCGGTCAACTGACTGAGACTGAAAAGCATTTTTAAAAAATACCCTAGACACCACTAAGAAGAAAGAAGGTGGTAACAGATGACACAAGAAAGACGAAAAAACTTGTGCTGTTTACCTGTACTTTTCACGTTGCATGATTTTTTTTCAGTGTGCTTATAGCAATATTGGTATTTCATCACCTATTTTGTGCCCAGAAGACTTTTACCATCACAGGCAGTTGTTACTTCAGATAAAGTATGAGGAAGTAGGAAAAGATGAGGAAAAGATGTGCAGTATTATCTATGTTACTCTCTCCTCTATTCCTCTCACTGCCAATTTTAAAAAGCTGCGCAGGACAGAGCTAACTCATTAACACCTGCCTATACTGCAATATCTATTGACTGCAAATTCAGGTAATCATCTCTTTCTAAGCAGCATACTAGTGGTTGCTTAATTCCATCTTCTCCCATCCCCACAGCCCTTTAAACTTCCTCTGAAGCAGAGTAACAGAGGGCTACAAACACTAGCTTAAGCCTGTGACTCTGTAACCCACACATTTCAAGGACTTAACAAATTCAAGTACAGGGTATAACAAATCCTGGGTAAGAAGATTGTGTCTTTGGATGCGATTTGTTTAAGACACTAGTCAAGTCCTAATCAAACTTGGTTACATTCAGATGTATTTAATAATATACAAACTGTTAGTCCTTACAGAAGGGACATCTAAATACTGCCAATTATCTTTCCTGAGTTAGTACCAGGCCTCAAGCAGTTAAACACAGGCATTGATGTGTCTGAAAACCATAGCCACGGTGAGCACTAACACAAGCACATTTGCAAGGGTGAGAACACATGGTGTAAAAGCAAAGGGAGGCGTAAGAAAACGACTGCATACTCTTTCTCACTGAAGTACAAACAGGCTTTTATCCATCTATCATATAGCTCTGATTTTCAGCTTGGAGACGCAGCCAGGCTGAGATAAAATGTGTCTCGGCGCTTTTTGGGGGGTTTTTTGTTTGTCTGTTTTCTCCTTTTTTTTCTCCTCCCCCCTGCTTGTGTGCTTTGAGAAAGGAGCATAACCCTAACAAAATAAGCAGATCGATTTTTATCCTCAGATAACGTACACCAGAATCATTAGCATACATCCAATAATAATGGCAGTCAATAATTCTGGGCAAAATGAGCTTCACTTTAATGGAAGAAAAAGTATTTTCCATGCCCTTTAACACTAGGTCAACCAATACCAACATTTTCCTTGGTCTTATTTTTGTTGCCAACATCCCTGGAGAAGGCCTTTTGCTACCTTTCACACACCTCACTAGTTTCAAACTCCAGAAGAGCTTTGGCTTTCCTAAATACCCACATCCCTGCACACCCAGGCTGCGTCTCCAATGGCCTTTTGGGTAATCCCGTCCCTCTTCCACCTCCCATATTCTTCCGTTTTGAGTTCAGACAGGAGTTTTCTGCTCAGTCCTGCTGGCCTCCTGCCATGTCTGCTCAACCGCTTCTACATCACCCTCTTTTACAGCTGCAGCACATCCTTCTATTCTGTATATTTGTTTCAAGCTTCTCATATTAGCATTCAGCATCTCTCATCCCAAATTCATTTCTCTTCATCCTCCTTCCTCCACTATTTCTCGGTATTCTTCAGGTCTTAAGAACAAATCCAACATTTTTTCCTTTGTGCTTTGTCCTACACATGCATCCTGGACACCCTCCTTACACTTACCTTGGAAACACTAGCACTATGTTCAAGTCTCTCCAATGTTTTCAGAGGCAAATGGCTAGATGTAAATGAAGGATGTAAAGACCAAAAAGGAAAAGATCTTCTTAAGGTAAAGGCAATACTGACACAAAATCAAATGGATACAAACTAGACATGAATATGTTTACGATGCAAAAGAGAACAAGCAAACAAAAATATTTTTTCATTAGAAAAGCAGCAAGGCTCTGAAAGAGTTTCTTATATGGGGTAACAAAGTTCACAACCTGGCTAGTTTCAAGAGACCGCCTGATTGATTTAAAAAAAAAAAACAAAACACATATTCACCTGTTGATTGGATTCAATACCCTCACAGGATTCTTCCAGTCATGCTTTTAACTGGCACTAAAGCAGGATTTAAAAGCTTTCCCGAATCATTACTGAAAAAGCACATTAAATTCACATAACTTCTTTTTAAATAGAAAGTTTTGAAGTCTGGTCACAATCTAACACAAGTATTGAGCAACACACATCTTACAAATATTTTGAAACAGAATTTAAAGTACAAACTATGTCTGTCTGAAAATGTTTTAGAGAAGAAAATAAGTCACAGAAAGACATACTCACCACCTTCCATCTTTCTTTGACCAAGATTCCCACACTGAGGATGTCAGGCTGCTCCCCTCCTCCACTCATTGCAACTTCCTGGCAGGATGGAGCTGCTACGCAAAGGCTACGTCAGAACAAACCATCCAGATCCCAGGAGTGGCTTCCATTTAACCAGAGGCTGCAGAGATAGAGAGCAGAACATCAGACCTCAGTGATTAAGAGTGATGCGACTTACAGAAACAGCGGTGCTTCTTCCTTAGCACTTACCCCCTAATGACTTCTGTCAGCAAAACAGCCAAACAACTTCCATCTTTCTGCACATTTCTATAATGCGCAGAAAAAAAAACCCAAGCATCTCATCCCTTATTTTTTTCACCTGCTCAAACCAATCTCAAACTAATGGATCCAACCCCAAAATAATACTAATGAATAAAACAAAAAATGTTCTTAACGTATTCTGTCAGCAAGAATATCCTGGCAGGTTCCAATTCCTACAATTCACAATTAGGTGTAGAGCTAATATTTAATAATATTATTGTAAGAATCCAAACAACTAATACATTTAAAACTAATAATTAAATAATAATTGATAGTGATACTTGGTAGTAGGCTCAAAACATTAACCTCAGTCACAAAATTAAAAATACATGGTTGAAATTTTAATTCATCGCACTGCATACTAATTATTTCATATTTTACAGCTAGTATTACTTATCATTAAATATATCTGAAAGTATAATTTCACTGGTTTATGTAAGAGTGCAATTAGCTAAAGGGAAAAAATCTTGTCTTGGATAATTTAATGGATTTAATTTTTTTAATTTCCATGCCTTTCGTAATCATTTCTAAATCAGATTTTATACAGCAATATAAGGTTTGCATCTTGGAGATAAACCCATCCATAAATGCTCCCATTAGTATCTATTACACCAAATTAAGGTGGATTTCAATCGTTTGCTAGGAGCTTTTCTATAAGCTTACATTTTTGCTACACTGCTTTGTACAACTGTTCACGTGGAACTCTTCACACAAGCTCTCTTACCCAATGATAGGAAACTCCCACTCTTTGCCTTGGTTTGCTCCAATAACTTGCAAAACAGCACAAGCTAGAAGCGAGTCTCTCATCCCTGAATCAGTATACAAGTGGTATACAACACTGTATGGTACAAAAATTGTATTCAAACAGAACATATTGCTCCTCTGAAAATTTATGCTTTGATATAATTTTCCAAGGCAAACACGAAATGCAAAGTTATCTTTCCCTCATAAAATAAAAATAGCAGTGTATCTGTTCTTACCGTATTACTGAATTTTAATTTTGATTCAAAAGAAAATTAGAATAAACTGTGAGTAAGATAATGACCAGAAGATAAATAAAATAATACTTTCCCCCCTTTTTGGAATATGCAGACACACACATACACACAAAAAAAATCCATCTCTTTAAAGGTGTTAAGTCATTTAACTACTTAAACGTGCATTTCTCATTAGCTAAAGAGAGTACAAATTCAAACAGTAAGAACTTACTTGATTCTGACCCAGGCTCTCCTAATTTTCACTAATAAAGGGACAACTTTTCTTTAAGTAGAAATGAGAAAGTGCAAAATGCCTGCAGATTTAGGATTTTTTTTCTGCTGGCATTTACTTGAAGAGAACAGAGAGCTAAAAATTAGAAATGTGCGTGTTTAATGACATTGAGATTTGTCTCTTCACTCTATGAGACAGTTTCTTTAGAAGCTTAAAAATTGAGTGGGAACTTTGTAAGCTCTGCACTCTCTTAAGAGCTCAGGACCAGCTCAATAAACAGGTTTAGAAATAGCCCGAAATTACCACAGGTTCCCCCTGAGTCCTCCTGCACAGCTACAGGGCCCCTTGCCCTTCCTCCACTGAGAAATTTGCTTACAGGACAATTCCACGCGTGCTTTCTAAAAGAGAGATACAAAATCACGTAAGGGCCAAAAAACCTTTTAGGGCTATCCGTTTTGCTATCCATTTCTAAATACCAAAACCAGCAAAAATATGCAAACACACCTTCTGATATTCTTTTCTAAACTACAAGAAAATTTTAGGGGGACAAACACTCCTGTCCGAGTTGTAAATTCCAACATTTAAATCAACTCCAAACAAATAATAGTCTCCCAGCTCTCCCCAAAAAATTAATCTGGATTAGCTGAAGATCTAAATTTATACCAATTGGTCAGAGTTGGTTAAATCCCAGTAAGAATACATTCATTCAGAATAGGTAGCCTTAATTGGTTTATTTCAAATGAATGAAGGGAAACTAAATTAAGGCTGGTGTTCTGAGTAAGAGTGTCCACATGCAGATTTAATCAAGTTGAGCTAAACCAATTCAGATTCTGCCCTGTAGATAAGGTCAACATTTGAAAACAGACCTAGAATCATTGGTGTTACCATCCTAACATGGGCAACCACCAATTGTGATAACCAGCCCTTTAAACAGAATTACCATAGCACAATCAAAAACAAGACGGGCCAAGAAGAGAATGAAACAGCACTACTGAAAGGACAAAGATCTACTAAAACTACTCAACTTAGATGCTTACAGCACATTCAGAGATTTTTCCATTTGCACTGAATTTTGCCTACCCTCCCATGGTCTCCCAGTTATGTCAGGTAAGAGATGATCCTTGTACTGACACCCAATTTGATGCTTCTACTTCAAATTGCAATTGATAGTCACAGCCCTGGTGCACATTTCTGAGCACTAGTCATTCAAGGCACCTCAACCAAATTAAAAGACCATAAAACTCAATGCAATGCAAAATTGCAATATATGTGCCCACCACAACCACACACTTTGAGACTTACAGGACGACTACAGCGCTGTAGATAACATCTCCTAGATGACTAAGATAACAGAATCCAATTCCTTATTAAATCACTTGCCATCCTATTCCATTATACAGTAATAAATGGGTTGACATCATCAGTCCCTGGTAGTCGAAATATCAAAATAACCAGGACACATTAAGTAATCACACAGAGGAGACCAAAGTTCTCTCTTGAGCCCCAAAAGGAAGACGCTCGTTTCCTGAAGCACAAAAATCAGAGCAAGCACCACGGTACTTCAGAAAGGCAAGCTTTATACCTGCATGGTGAGTTCAATTTGGACCATCCTGTTTTCTTCAGGATCCCGGAGAAAGTGGCCTGAGGATTCAGTCAGTGACTTCAAGGCCAGAGGGCGTCCTCTGGTTTTGTACCCATACAGGCTACAAAACTTCATCCCTTCAGTGAACTGGCATATGCGCTTGATATTATGCACTTGATATGCAAGGTCCCAAACGATGACACATCCAGTATCATCTCCAGCAGTGCCTTCCAGTAAGTGCTTCCCCTCACAGCCAACATGATTTGTTTCGTGTCAAGGTTTAATTTACTTGATTTCAGCTTCTCACCATAGGACTTTGCCATACTTTTGGAAAACGAATTCCATTTCCAGTAATTTTATTTCATATAAGTAACTAAATGCAGGGATCAAGTAATTTTTTAACCTTCTCTAAATTAATAAACTAACCATTAAGTCTTTCCTATAAAACTTATTTTCTTATGGATCATTCATGTGGTCCTCTGAACTCTCGCCTGGCATCACAACTGTCTCACACTGCAGGGTGCAACCTTGAACTATATTCACTCACACCAATATGCAGTAAGGAGAAAAGAATCATTTTCTCTTTCTTCATAATAGTCTTATTTCCCTAAACTGCATTTCCATAGGCATTAAGGTCATTTTCTGTCTAATTATTTTTTCTTTATAATTTTCCTAAACAAGTAGCAGTCATTTCTACACCACCATTTCTCGTAAAAATGTATTTTATATGTATTTTATATGTAACGCTCAGCAGTTTCCCAGCTGACCAATTTATATCAAGAGAAGAAAATGGTAACATAACAGAATTATCACAACTAAAGGTGACTGGCCACTTGGCAAAACGTCTTCCAGGTGTCAGGTCCTGAAACAATTCAGACAACCTGAGCGCAGGCGGTGGTCCGTGGTATAAGCCTTCCTGTGTCACAGTACAATACGACTGTTTAAAGGAGGGTTAGCACTACAGCCCAAATTTGGTATCATGCCAACAGCTTCATTATTTAAAACTCTTGCTCAAACTTCTTTAATTTAGCACACTCAAGTATATTAAAAAATATGCTACTAGACCACTGCAATGCAGAACTTCCAGAAAATACAAACCAAATTCCCGAAAACTGACCGCAGATAAGCATGCAAAGACAGTCACTCTATGTGTGCATTTTATGTGCATACATGCACACGTATGTATTTCTTCACAGACAGTCCTAAACTGAAATTAAATCTGCTTACCAGCTTCGAGAGATGTTTAAAGCTACATCTAAGGTTAAGAAAGTAGAACTGGCAATTCTGGCTGAAAGCAGCTACTGTATCTTTCAGGACACAGCAAGTAAAGACAGAAGATTTTCTCTTTCACGGAAAGGAAAGATTCTTGTCCTATCACCTTCCCTGTGGAATAATATCTACATATTCGTACTGGAAACTCAGGTTATTAAGAATTCTGCCCGGCTGCCTTCAGTCCATTCAAGCATTCAATAAAACCTAAATCTCCCAAAGTTGCTTTCCACTCCTGTACTGTCTACTTTTGTGTAAAAGACAGACTTAAAAGAACAAAGTCAAGCTTAACAAAACAGGACAAAGAGAAAACCAGGGCAGGAAATTTTCAAAGGCTCCAAGTCCATCGCCTTTGTAGAGAGGTTCACTTCCTTTGGCAGGCGAAGGCTTGCTAGCCAATTGTAAACCCAAAGTCTAGGAGGAATTTCAAGGGTGTCTGAGTTTCCAACCTATAAAGCTATCTTGCACTTACAAGCTGAATGGTGCTCCTCAGCACCACTGAAAAATCATTTTCAGAAAAGAAAACGAAATGCAAAACATTGACATATATTTCCAAAAGCATTGGTTACGAAGAAAACCTTAAAAAAAAAAAAAAACACACCACGAACAATTCAATTTAATGTTTCCTGTCTCAACGCTTTTTTGTGCCAAAATATTTGTTGCCTTTTGTAGATTCCAGGTGTGAAAAGCTCCCAACTGTCTCATCTTCCTCTGCCAAGGAGTCTAGATCTCCTTCTGGCAGCTTCTGCACTTATAGTTATGTTGCTATTACAAAAGCAGCAACACTTTCTCAGT